AGTAGAGTAGAGTAGAGTAGAGTAGAGTAGAGTAGAGTAGAATGGAATATATGGAGTGGAATGGAGTAGAGTAGAGTAGAGTTAGAGTAGAATAGAATAAAGAAGGAAGGAGAAAATAGAATAGAATAGAATATATGGAATGGAATGGAATAGAATTGAAGAGGATAGAATAGAATAAAGGAAAGAAGGAAGGAGAAACTAGAATAGAATAGAATAGAATAGAATTCTTTATTGGCCAAGTGTGACTGGACACACAAGGAATTTGTCTCTAGTGCCGATGCTCTCAGGGTACATAAAGAAAAATAAAATAGAATACATTCATTAAGAATAAAAAGATACAGCGCTTAGTGATAGACTAGGTTACTAATAAGCTATCAAATCGTATTAGGAAACAAATTAAAACAATATAGATTGAAAGATAGAAGCAACATGGCTACGGTCATAAGTGGGGAGAGAGAGATACTAGGAAGGAAGAGAAGAAGAATAGTAATACATTCTTAGTAAATTATTGACAGCGTTGTGGGAATTAGTTGTTAAGCAGAGTGATGGTATTTGGGGGGAAAAACTGTCGTTGTGTCTAGTTCTGGGGTGCAGTGCCCTGTAGCGTCATTTTGAGGGTAGAAGTTTTAAGTTTATTGTCATTGAACCTCCTACAACGAAACGAAATGCCATCTTTAAGTGTACTTAACAGATTTCTGTAAGTCTTCTACAAAGACTTACAGATTTCAAGTCCCGGAATTCTCCCAGCCAGTTAAAAGACTTGTGGATGTCAACTTCCAGAATTCTCCAGCCAAGCTAGCTAAAACAAGAATTCTGGGAGTTTGAAGTCCAGAAGTCTTTTTAAGTTGACAAAAATCGGACGCCCAATAAAGCAGTACGATCCGAATCACATTTCGCATTGCATGGACTCTCTCTGATTGCTTGTTTTTTTCTGAAAAATCACAACACAGTATTAGTTTTGTCCATTTTTAATTTTTATTTTCTCTCTCTCTCTCTCCCCCTCTCTCTTTTTAGGAAAATATATCTGGGGGAAAAGGCCCATTCCCCCCCCCCTCTTTCCATAAAAGATGTGCATGATAAAAACATTTTTAAAAAAACTACTGAAAATGTTTGCGGTTGATGCAAAGGCTTTTCAACGCTTGAGCCAAAGGCTGAAGATCCCATTCCAAGGACCACTCAGAACCACTGCAAGGAGGACAAAGAAAACCAGCACCAGGCCTTTGGCAAGGGTGTGAGGATACGGCTCTCCTGAAAAGGGGATGGAGATAAACGTTGTTTAGAAACGGGACGATGCAATGAAGAGAGGGCGGACGACGAATCCAGACAAGCCTCCGTTAGAATGAGGATATCTCAACTACATAAATCTTCCCAGCCATCCTCTGCCAAGGGGCGAGTCTCCCCCCTCGCCCCCAGCATAAGAAGAGATTTACAAAACAGGAATAGCAGTAACACTTAGACTTATATACCGCTTCACAGTGCTTTTACAGCCCTCTCTAAGCAGTTTACAGAGTCAGCCTCTTGCAAACCCCAACAATCTGGGTCCTCATTTTACTGTCCTTGGAAGGATGGAAGGCTGAGTCAACCTTGAGCCAGTCGGGATCAAACTCCAGGCAGTTGGCAGAGTTAGCCTGCAATAGTGCATTGCGCTACCACAGCTCTTTCTACATGTATTGCTGAACAATGGAAATACATGCAGAGCATTATGTGATTATTAAAGATAAAGGTTCCCCTTGCACATATGTCGTTCCCGGCTCTAGGGGGCGGTGCACATCTCCGTTTCAAAGCCGAAGAGCCAGCGCTGTCCGAAGACGTCTCCGTGGTTGTGTGGCCGGCATGACTCAACGCACGGAACGCTGTTCCCTTCCCACCAAAGGTGGTCCCTATTTTCCAACTTGCATTTTTTACGTGCTTTCGAAATGCTAGGTTGGCAGAAGCTGGGACAAGTCA